GTTCTCATGAGATTATTATTATAAAAGCCCAAGCCTGGCTCCACCCGTCTCTCATTGGCTTTCTGCCTGGCAATATGACCTCCATTTCCACATGTGTCTGCTATTAGTATCTTCCATGAGGCAGGGCAGTCAAGAAGGTTCTTCACCATGAGCTTATACCATGCTGTTTGGACTTTCAGCATGCAAAACCATGAACCAAATAATCAATCTTCTTTTCTTTATGAAGTTAACCTGACCTAGGTATTTCAGTACAGTACTGAAAAAAGTTTAATGTGTGTGATTAACTTCATGGTCAATGAGTATAAAAGATGCTCCAATAAATACATGCCTGGGCTCACAGCTATCTTGTTAGTATGTAATTTAAGCATCATGTGTCCCACCCCTAATGACTAAGGATAGACTACGGAGGGCTGTGCCTAGAAATCTCATACTGCTTTATGATTGTTCATTCTTGTCCAGCTGTATCCAATCTTTCATCTATATTAAATTCTTATACAAATACACATTGCAGAGTATTTTAAGCATTATAATACTCACCAATTGTTGGGGCAGTGGCCAAGACTGCTTTTGCATTCCATTGCCTCCTGACACACCAGTGTCTGAAACTTAGTAAATCAGGATCCCATGAAGGAAAGGGAAACCTCTTGGTGGTTCTGAAGGGAGAGTGGGTGTAAGAGTGTGGTTATGCAGAAGAGGTTAGTGAAGCAACCTGTATTGCCAAGTAGCCCAGATTCTAAGAACAAAGGTCACTGGTACTATCCCTTGGAGCTAGGATAGGGAAAGTGGATGGTGCTAATGGGGCACAGGGGATGGACCATCTGGTAGAAGTGTGGCAGGACTGTTAACATGGAAGCAGAGAAGTGAGACAGAGATAGACACAGCTACTGCCTGGGATGCTACTGAAGACAAAGAGGGAAAGAGAACTATCCTGGTTTCTCCACACCTCCTTCTACCTTCTGCCTCACATAGGATCTCCACTCCCTGGATCCATCTGGAAATCAGATGATACAGAAACCTGGGAAGTACAACCTGGATCAGTTACTCCTTGTGATGTACTGACTGCAGGACAGAGCAAGGAGCATGCTTAGGGATTCCATTACCTGCACTAAATAAGCATATGCTGAGTGGATGAATAAAGTCAAGTGTGTGCGGAGTTAGGGTTGCTGGTTGACTCCACATTATGGCAACACTAGCCTTTAACAGCATGGAAGGTTTAGATGTGTAGTAGGGATGCATGTGTAAGGTATATAGAGGTCCCCACCTGGTGTATTATCTAGGGATGTATGGTCTGCCTGCCTTCTCCTATGATGTCCTGTTGCTGATAAATAACCCTTCTGGCTGGCTGTTTCTTTAGTTTTGCAGTATTGCTTTGGCTGGGGATCCATTCAGACTTATCCAGAATACTTTATGCATTGCTCGTTTTATTTGATATGTTGATTTCATTAATGCCTATGAGAAAAGTTGTATTTTCACTTCCCATTTCTTAGGCAGGAGCATGATACTGAAGCCTCGGGAACAAAGATCATAATACCACCTCAGTTTTAGGGAAACAGAGGAGTATTTCAAATAATTGGGTTAGTCACTATAATCTAGGGAAATCAGCTTTGGGTATCAGTTCCTCTTCAAAGTCTTACCTACAAAGACAAAAGGGAATTATCACCATTAGTAATCCTGAATAAATACACAGGCATCACACAGACACACTCGTGATTTACTCAGGGTAAAAGAAATCTCCATTGGCTTCCAGAATGCAAACTGAATGTTTAGTTCTTCCTAGTTACCCAGACACTGCTTGAGGTAGTAATAATTAATGAAGGGTCTGAGGATGTCATGATGAGACTTTTGTAAACTTCCCCTATGATCCATAGTTAAACAAACAGAAATCCACAAAATCACATAGTCCATGTAAATGGTTAAAAAAATAACAATAAAGTCCAGTTGGCTCCTTGCTTGAAATTAGTGTGTCTGTGCAGAAGGTGTCTGAGCTTCACTTTTTTTACACCACTCTCCTTGAATACCAGATTGCAAGCTCAGTGGGTCTCTTGGGCATCATTTCTGGCTCCACATCCAATTTCTTAAATTGAAAATTCAATATAAGTTGCTAAACCTTATCGGGGCTAATTCATTTGCACGGATTAGATGTGATCTTACCCCAGAACATGGGGAAGAAATCATCTTTCTGTCTCTGATGTTTATAATTTTCAATGTCTAATAATCAAGTTTTAAGAAACATAAACTACCAGTGGGATTTGTGAATTGCTTTCTCCTTCTAAGTAGCTGCCAAGTGAGTTTGCATTGCTGTTCTTGTTCATCCTTTAATTTTATTCTTAAGGATGAATAAGAAAAATTTGTGAAATCAAATTCAGTTGAAAGAGAAAGCATGGTGTGCAAAATGACATCAAAGAATTACGTCCTAGACTTTTGCCCTCAAGTTTTGCATTCCAAAGCCTATCATTTGTAGCACAAGTTACTGGTACCCTGGCCAGGTTCCCTTTGTCAGCTGGCCCACCCTGTGCTCAGCTGATGAGAGTGGAGGTTCATAGCTGCCTCCCTCTCTGGAGGATCGCTCTTGTGTACTAGATCTCAAGTCTCACTTGGTTCCATGGTCCAGGGCTGACTGTGAGGCTGAATACTGTGGTTATGGGGGAGCATGTGGCATAGGAGCATCTTTATCTCCTTGCAGACTGGAATCAGAGAGAAGTTGAAATGGGAAGATGTCAGGGCCAGAGAACATTCAGGGACACATCTCAGCAACCACCTTCCAATGATCTCCCAATAATCTATTCAAATTTTGAATCTTCCAATGAACTAAACCATGTACAGGTCTAATGGCCTAATTGTCTCATGAGAAGATCTCATAGATGTAAACAGAGCTGTGCCCTAGTGACTCCTTTGGTCCTTCTTACCCAATAAAAGTGATGATCAAGACTGACTTTTACACCTTGCCTGCTAGGAGGCCCCCTGTCACCCAGCCAGGTGAAGATTGTGAGGTTTCTCTCCATACCAGGAGCTAGCACGTGTCTGATGCCAGAGGTAACAGCTGAGCCTCTCTACCTCTGGTTAAGAAAACCTGTGTCGGTACAATCCACCTTCCACAGTGTCACACTCAACAGACTGGAGCTAATTCCTTCTTGATCTCATATCCTTAATATTTTCTCCTGCTTCACCTGAGAATGTTTCTCTCCACAATTTACTTACACTAGAGATGCGGTCCCAGCCTCTGTTTCCATGGACCATTTTAATCTACACAACTATTTAGACACTGGAGGAAATTAACTTCTGAAGACAAAATAAAATGTATGCCCTTGGGCCACTATCCACTGAAGCTGCCACTCCTAGAATTAGTATTGATGACTCATGGCAAGTATTATTTGAGAATCTCTGATTTTTAGAACGTAAACTAGATAAATAGGTACATGTTTAAGTCACTGAAACTAAACATTGAAAGTTCTTAATTCACTAGTGCTGAATGCATGTCAGCAAACGTTTACTGCTGGGCTTTCCAGGCTGGTCCTCTTCCCTCTGCCTATTTTGGTTTTCCTTTCTGCCTGATGGGCACAGTCAACCGCAACTGAGTACCAATTGTAGGAGGGCACAGGACTAGTTGTCCTGAAGGCATTAAGGCATCTGGCTGGTTCATGAAAGGCTGTCTAAGGCCACATAACTATTATCTCTCCCTTACAAATGATGAAACAGAGACTAAGTGACTACTGGTACTTGGCCATTAGACATACAGTTAGTAATGACAGTAAAGATTCAAATCCTAGTCTGTGGATAAAACTCATGCTTTTAACCCATGTCTCCATGGTGTAAAATCTAATAAGGACCGTGTGCTGTGCTATGCACCAATGTCCAGCTCCTACATACTTTCTAGATGATAGTTATCAGGACCTTAGTGGAATTACCCCGGACATGGAACAACATTTCTTTACCCCTCAGCCTGTAGCTGTCTGTGACTGATTCAGGGATCCAGATGCCCAGATGTTTTGTTGGGTGTTCTAACCACCCCTGAAAAGTGCACCCATGCTTGAGCTCTTTCACTTGCCTATCCTGTGTCACCCTGTCTTGGGGGTACTCCCTTCTCAGATCACTTGCTGTTCAGTTCTTGACTCAAGAGTCCCTGCCTAGGAAAGGCTTTAGGCACTTAGACACTTGGATATTATAGACTTCTGTACCAACCTTTTAGCTTTTAAAATAATATGTTTATTACGCTATTAACATTTTCATTGTTAAAAGAAAATATAAGTCAAAATAAAATAGAAGTTAAAGCACAATTTATACCCCAAGCCACATAAACTAGGAATTTCTATTTGCATATTGCATAACTACAAGTCTGAGATGTTGTATAATCTGTGCAGTTATCTTTTAATGTAACATTGACAGACTTTATGCCAGTAAAGCTTCCTCTGTGGAATCTGTTTTGCTCACATGGACTTTTCTACTCTGGTTTTGGAAGGTAAGACACAGCTCCCAGCTCCCTATCCTGCTGTTACTGACTATGAACCATTCAGTGTAACACCAGTGTTTTCTCAGGGTATTGGCAGAACTCGGACTTCGCTCTGTTTGGTCTTAGTGTTAAACTGCACTTGAATATCCTTCGAATACAGTTCATTTTCAAATGCACCAAGCCACTAGAATGAAAATGAACATTTCATATGTAAAGAAAAAGTGCTGATAGGATCAGTTTATGTTTACAAATGGCTAAGTGTCTCCATATCACTGAGATGAAGATTCGATACCATGCATTCATTTCTCTTGTTCCTGAATGCAAAAGCATTTCATTGCACATTCCAGAAACAGAGAACCCTGTAGATACATCAGGAGACACCATTGATATTAGGAGTTGGCGTTTAATGGTTTCCTCTGGCCGAATAAGGGACAATTTGAGAATCAACAAAGCAAATGATGTTAGTAAAGGTTGATATAGAGAGGGAAACTTTTTCTTCTGCTCTGTTAGGTTCAGCACCTGAAGCTTTTGAGTAAGGCTAAAGAAAGGCAGATTAGTAGCAGAAAAATGAAATTTATTTATGTGTCCACATACTTATTGTCCCACAATGGTAAATGGCCCAAAGGGGCATTAGAATTTAAGACTTTTAAAGTTAAAATATTTAGTTGTTTTTATTCCTGTATATGATTATTTCACCCGCAAGAATTTAAGGACACCATGTGTGTAATGCCTTTGCAGCCCAGGAGGAGGCAGTGGATCCCCAGGAACAGGAGTTACAGACAGTTGCAGTTATGAGCTGCCTGACAAGAATGCAAAAATGCTGGAGATGGAACCCAGGATCTCTGCAAGAGCAAGCTCTCTAAGTCAGAGCCATTTCATCAGTCTGAGAACATGAGATTTATTAACAAATCTGCATCATACTATACTTCACAAATGTGTACATTTAAGATCATGTAAACTGCAATGTTTAAAAGCAAACTTAATAGGTAAAGGGGAGGAGAAGGGAGCACTTGGGAGAAACAAAACCAACTCGTTTGGAAAATTGAGATTTCAAGAGACAGACATGAGATAGGAAATGCGTGGTAGCGTTTATCTACACAGGTGCAAGCAGTTGCTTCACTGACTTTGGGGCCAAAACCTCCCTGGATAGGGGGTCTGGAATAAGTTTGCTTGTTTTTTACCTGCTGTATTAGCTCAGGACAGAAGAATAATTTATGGCAGATAAATAACCAATTTGAGTTTGGAGTTGTCTCCACAGTTACATCCTATCAAGTAAGAAATAAATGCCCGAGTACTAGTTAAATTACCAAAATTAAGAGAAGAGAATACCTTGGCCAGCAGAGGAAAGGTATTTAAGGAATAGAAACATGACAACATCAGGATATTATCTTATTGTTATTGTCAGTGTAAATTCCAGAAAGAATCATCCATGGATATTAATATCAGTGCGTAAAACTGATGGGAATGAAAGAAAATATACATACTTTCAAAAATACTCCCCAAGACATTTCGAAGTGCATAGAGAAGAAACTAGAGGACCTCCACTTTAGAGGACACGTGATGATGTGTGATATAAACTTCCCCAATTCTAACTTCTGGTTAAAGAAGTACTGAAGAGTGCCATGTCACATTCTTGGAATTGCTGCCTCAAACATAGTGCTTGAATCTGTTCTCAGAGAAGTAGTGTAACAAAAATTGAGGGATATTTGCAAAACAACTGCCCTGTATTCTTAAGTAGCAATATTATTAAAACAGTAAAAACAAAGGAGGGCTGTTCTAAGGGAAAAGGAACTAAAGACATATAGCAACTGAATGCATTTTTTGGCTGGATTTTCGTTTGATGTAAAGTTTATTACTTTGAGTAATAGTAAAACCTGAAGAAGTTCTCTAGATAGTTCCTTTATGCATTGGCTTCCTGATGTTGACAATGAAAACATCATAGTATTGCTCTATCAGCAGTACAGATTTGGGCAGCTGAAATAAGGTTGTATAAAGGAATTTCTGTACATTTTAAGTAGCCTTAAAAATGGATTTAAAGGTAGAGATAGAAGTGAGGTTTTCCTGAGGAAGAAAGAAACTCCTCCTGTGAATTTCATGGAATGTTCCTGACCAAGAGTCTGACACATCTCATGGCTGTATTATATATTTAGAGACTTGTCCAAACAGCACTCACTCTCATAAACCAATTCCTTACAACTCTCCCATCCATCCATCCATCCATCCATCCATCCATCCATCCATCCATCCATCCCATTGCATCCATCATCTATATGTATCATGTTTGAACAGGAAATGCATCCCACTCACCCCCAGGCTCATGTGTTTAACACTTAGTCCCTAGCTAGTAGCACTGTTTGGGGGACATTATAGACACTCTACAAATATGGCCTAACTTGAAGAAATAGTTTTTTGGGGGTCAGTTTTTTAAGTAGCTTCCTGCTTCCTGACAAGCCTCACTGCACTGCCTGCTCCCACCCCAAGAGCTGAGCCCCACCAGCTTCTGTAATAGCCTATTCTCTTTCAAACCATGAGCCAAATAAACCCGTCCTTGCTTAAACTGTTCTGACAGGTATTTTGGACTTAGTGAGGAAAAGTAGATAATAGCCATCCACCATCCACTCATCCATCCACCCACCCACTCTCTATTCTACTGTTCTATATCTCTGTCAGAACTTTGACATGTCTTCTTTCTAAACAATAGTCAGGCCTTAAATTTAAATCCCCCAGGACACATTCAGGGGCACTATTTTTATGATAGGCTCCTTTCCCCCATATTTTTATTAGTTCTTGATTCTAGATTTCTTAAATATATCTTTATTCTTTGATTCACTCTCTCCAAAATATTAATGGAATATGGTATCTTTAGTCATTCTCAAATAGTTTTCTAGTATATAAAAAATTTTGCTCAAATTATCAGCTATTTTATGAAGACCATCTGGATGGTTCCTTAGTTGCAATTTCTCCAAATTGGAGAAATGTTTATTTTATAGTAGGTAGAAGATAAGGAATTTATCTTCAAAGTGTTCACTAGTGGTTTTAGAATCATAGCTTGGAGTATTCCTATGGCTTTTAGTTTTAATTTGGATCTTTATAGAAGCTACCTAGAAACAGTGTTAGGTGTATTTGGGAGGCATCTATCTATCTATCTATCTATCTATCTATCTATCTATCTATCTATCTATCTATCTATCTATCATATTGGCCTTATGACCTTAACTCTATTCCAGAGCTCTATGGTCCAGTGAGAACATACACTTAGACATCCAACCAGATGGTGAGGGAGTCCAATCTTCTTTAGTCTGGGAGAGAGTTGAGAGTTGCTTCTAGAGGTTGTAACTGCTATTCAAGATTGAGTTTTCTGGCATCTGAAAGTCAGATGCAAGAGCTCCACAATATCAAAGTAGAGGGAAAGAGTGGCATGTACACTGTCAAAACTTTACCTAGTCCAAGGTATCTGTGGTGCTTTTACAATGGTAACTGAGGAACAAACTCCCATCTCAAAGGCTATATATCATCTCTCTTTCCTCATGTTAAGTTGTGTTTCTATCAGTTTCTACTAAGTTTATTTTATTAATTTTTTTGTGGTGTTGGAAACCAACCCATGGCCATGTATATCCTAGGTGAGTTATCTACCACTGAGCTATACTCTCAGCATTTGTTTTTTTGAGACAGGGTCTTGTTATATAGCCCAGGATGGCCTCCAGTTTGCAGTCCTCTACCTTCATAGTGTTGGGATTATAGGCATATGCTATTTATACCAAAGTTATTTTTATTTGTGTCCTATCAAAATCATTATTGTTGTTTGTTTTGTTTTTGTTTTTAATGTGGTTGTGGGATTGATCCCAGGGCCTTACATGTGCACTAGAATTATTTTTAATAAACATAATGGAGCATATCTGGCAAAATTTTGACACTATTTATAACTTCAGTGTGGCCTACTGCACTGTCAATAAAGGTTAGGCATTTATATGAATAACCTGCCATTCATTGCAATATGAAAGAGAGCTGTGTGTTATAACTCTGGATATTTATAGCTATTGCAGCAAAACCTGATCCTTAATAACATCTTCTTAATGGGTGGATTGCTTTGGCTCTGCTGGATATACGTACTTTCTCCAAACTTTGGACTCTGGGCCACAAAGCGCGAACCCCAGGAGGCAACTGCTATGACTTAGAGCTTGAGGGATGCCTCCAATGCTTGAGCTTTCTCTGTGATGTTCTTTTGGAAAGGCATCATGAAGTCTTCAAAGTCCACCTCATATGTGAACCTCTCCCTTCGCAGTTCCCTCTTCCTGATCAGCTCTGCTGTTGTGGCTTCAGGACTCCAAATCTTAAATAAACAGCCCAAACCAAGGCAGTTGTTAGCATGATGGCCGGGGATTTTCACTCACATATATTTTTAATTAAGCACATGCTAGGTGAGCACTTTATCTAGCCTAGGAAGACTTCCTATAGGTTCAACCTGGAACTATCAGATACACATCTAAAGAACATTTTACTGTTTTACTCTGTCTTATGACCTTAGTGGCTATGTGAACATCACTATTTCTGGTGAGGACCACCTAGGAAGAGAGATCAGAAATGCTCTTCAGGTCCTTCTCTAGTTACTTCTGTGCCAACTGATGCTTAGTTCCATGATATCAAAACAAGGTCAAAGAAACTGAAAAGTCCTTTTTGTCTAATGTAGAAGTCAAATTATTTTCATAGCAGAAAGCAGAAAGTGCTACTTATTCAGCATGGCTGTATGGGTACTGGAAAGATAATTCTTTTCCCCAAAGATGTCTCTATCTATTTAAGGGCAGGTATTTTAGGAGACTAATGAGTTGGTTCAGCCTTCGTAGTATGAAATTTCCAAGTAAGTATTGGTAAGGAATAAGGTCTGAAAAGCTACAACACCAAGTGCCTATAGAATATGATGACTGAATGGCTATAAGGAATGCCATTTACTAAAGAAGACTGTAGTCTTTTAAGGAAAATGTACATATTAGTATGGAAATAATAACAAATAGAGCCACATATTGGGAATTAACAGTTGGTGTCATTGAGATGAATGTGGCAGAACCTGTCCAAGGGACCTCCACAACAGTACTGTAGAAAAAGAATGTGGGCATTTGTTCAGATGATCTGTAGAGTCAGCATGTGAAAAATGACATTATAAACTCTGCTATATTATAGAAGTGTTCACAAAAACACTTACCCTATGTGGGACAAATGTGATATCAATCTTCTTAGTGTAACCACTGGTAATCAATGAATTGAGGTAAACCACATTTTCCTTGTGTACTTTCTTTTCTTCTGTTATTGTTGGTATAGCATAAATTGATGACAGTGTTTCCTGGAAAAAAAGTGTTTTTTTTTAAGTATAAATTGCTAAAATCAAGCATTCATTAATATCCTTTTTTTGTCTACACTTTCCTTTGAAGTTAGGAAAGAAGGAAAATGCTAATTTGAGATATGATAAAATATCATTAATACTATAACCATGGATGTGGCGAGATGATTCGCTTGTATTACCAGGCTTCACCTAATTAATTATAAGAGGGACAAATAACATGAATTTCCAAGATATATATCCCTGATCTATGGCTATTCATAGGATGGACTCCTACTAAAGTGATAATGGTTCATATGGTAGGAGTTGCAGTTGGTGGAGACCCTGTCACTATGATTGGCCCATGACTAGAACTCTGTCCCATCTGCCAAGGTTCCTTTACCTAGATCATTTCCTACTTTCTATATTCCCCAGCCTTTCCAATGTAATGACATTAGGGCTTTTATTTCTTGACTTTCATTGATTTTTCTCTTCCTTACAAGGAATTCAGTGAACCATCTGCTCCCCCAAAGAAGCTTCCAGGTTGGAAATGCACTTAGGACATCCTTACTAACAGCAATGTCTTCACTGTCCTCTCCTCCTATGTTTGGTCATCTCACCATATCTGTAGAAGTTGGGACCATGTAGATACAAATGCAGTATCAGTTTTTTCAATATTTTAATCATTTAACTGAATCATTTGTATGTTGTATGGATTATGTTTACAATGAACACTTTGTAGAGTCTTCAGTAATAATTTTTTGCTAGATATATCTTTATAATTATTACCTAAGGTGTATATAGCATGCTATTTTCCTTTGTTGTTATGCAACAGCATAACAGAGTGCCACTGCCACCCCAAGAGTTTAAGGACTTTCTGTTAATATTTGGTAGTCAGCCTCTTTTTGTTTTACCTCTTCTTTCTTAGTGTCCATGCCTTCGGTCTTCAGTTTAGGAAGCTTGCCTTTCAGTTTTTGATTATCTAATGGTTTAGGCAGGTTATCTGTCTTTTCTTTTAGCATATCAATTATTCTATAATCAGCGTATGCCTTTGCAACATCCATGGCAACATGTCCTGTTTCACACATAAACATAAATTGAAAGTTACAATGATAAACCACGTAGAAAAGAAAATCAGCAGGTTAGCATACAGCAGTATGAGTTCACAAAGCATAATAGATATTCTCCAGAGAGGACCTCACTAAAAAATCCCAGTAATATTGAGAGCCATTTACTAGCACAATTTCTTTCTTAAATCTTTTAACAACATATCTTAAAATGTGAGTGAGAAGTGTTAAATTACATTTTGAATATTAAAATTTGTTGTCCCTTCCATCTCCAACACATCCCTTTCAAGGAGGTAAATTCCAAATATTCTGGGAAGCTGGTACTCAAAAGCACTCTAGACAGGTATTATTTTACCTTTAACATCACCTGGCAAGGCTGTTACAATACTACCTGTGATCCAAGATAACTTGAAGAATGCTGTCTGACAGAACCCAAGGCAGTTCCAATTAAGAAAAAGGCACCTCCAAACAGCTTTAGACTATGTGTGTCCTAGAGCTAGGAAGGCCTACCTCAAGTCTGGGATTTGTCCAATTTTAAGAGACCATCAATGTCTCTAGCTGGACAGGTTTTATGAAACAAAGGCTTTAGTAGTGACCTGTAAAATGGTCTGTGTTAAAAACTAACATGACAACAGCCAACATTAAAGTAAATGGAGAGAAACTTTAAGTGATTCCACTAAAATCGGGGACTAGAAAAGTCTGTCCGCTCTCCTCATATTTATTTAATATAGTACTTGAAGTTCTAGCTAGAGCAATAAGACAACAAAAGGACATCAAGGGGATACAAATTGAAAAGGAAGAAGTCAAACTTTCACTATTTGCAGATGACATGATAGTACACCTAAGTGACCCCAAAAATTCGACCAAGGAACTCTTACAGCTGATAAACATAAAGTTCTTGTCATACAGGTTCTTTGCTTGCTTAGAGTTACCCCAAAGTATGTAATGTGGCAGGATACAAGATTAACTAAAAAAAAAAAAAATCAGTAGCTCTCCTATATACAAGTGACAAACAGGCTGAGAAAGAAATCAGAGAAACATTATCCTTTATAATAGCCACAAATAATATAAAATACTTTGGGGTAACTCTAACTAAGCAAGCAAAGAACCCATATGACAAGAACTTTAAGTCCCCAAAGAAAGAAATTGAAGAAGATGTCAGAAAATGGTAAGATCTCCCATGCTCATGGACAGGTAGTATTAACACATTAAAACTGGCAATCTTACCAAAAACAATCTACAGATGCAATGCAATCCCTATCAAAATCCCAACACAATTCTTCACAGAGTTGGAAAGAACAATGCTTAACTTTATATGGAAAAACAAAGAACATAGGATAGCTAAAAGAGTCCTGTATAATAAAGCAACCTCTGGAGGCATCATGATCCCTGACCTCAAGGTCTACTATAGAGCTATAGTAATAAAAACAGCTTGGTACTAGCATAAAAACCAACACATGGACCAATGGGAATCGAACTGAAGACCCTGACATTAATCCACACATCTATGAACATATGATTTTTGACAAAGAAGCCAAAACTGTACCATGGAAAAAAAAGAAAGCATCTTCAACAAATGGTGCTGGCATAACTGGATGTTAACATACAGAAGATCACAAATAGATTCATATCTGTTGCCATGCACAAAACTCAAGTCCAAGTGGATCAAAGACCTCAACATAAATCCAGTTGCACTGAACTTGATAGAAGGGAAAGTAGGAAGTAGTCTTGAATGCATTGGCACAGGAGACCACTTCCTAAATATAATACCAGTAGCACAGGCACTGAGAGCAACAATTAATAAATGGGACTGCTTGAAACTGAGAAGCTTTTGTAGGGCAAAGGACATGGTCAAAAGACAAAAACAGCCTACAGAATGGGAAAAGATCTTCACTAGTCCCACATTTGACAGAGGGCTGATATCCAGAATATATAAAGAACTCAAGAAACTAGACATCAAAATACCTAACAGTCCAATTAAAAAATGGGCTAAAGAGCTGAACAGAGAATTCTCAACAGAAGAAGCTCAAATGGCTGAAAGACATTTAAGAAATTGCTCAACATTCTTAGTCATCAGGGAAATGCAAATCAAAATGACTCTGAAATACCATCTTATACCCATCAGAATGGCTAAGATCAAAAACACTGAAGACAGCTTATGTTGGAGACGATGTGGAACTAGGGGAACACTCCTACACTGTTGGTGAGAATGCAAACTGGTACAGCCACTTTGGAAATCAGTATGGTGTTTTCTCAGAAAATTGGGAATCAATCTCCCTTAAGACCACTCTTGGCATACCAGTCTTGGGTATATACCCAAGGAATGCTCAATTATACCACAGGGACACGTGCTCAATTATCTTCATAGCAGCATTATTTGTAATAGCCAGAACCTGAAACAACCTAGATACCCTTCAACTGAAGAATAGATCAAGAAAATGTGGTACATATACATAACAGAGAACTACTCAGCAGAGAAAAACAATGACATCATGAGGTTTGCAGGCAAATGGATGGAACTAGAAAATATCATCCCGAGTGAGGTAACCCAGACTCAGAAAGACAAACACGGTATCTACTCACTCATAAGTGGATACTAGATGTAAAGCAAAGGATAACCAGACTGCAACTCACAGCTCCAGGGAGGCTAGCTAGTAAAGAGGACCCTAGGAAAGACACAGGGATTGCCCAGTAATGGAGAAATGGATGAAATCTACATGAGCAAACTGGGGGTGAGGGGAGAGGTAATGGAGGGTAAGGTCAGTGGAAAGAGAACTTAGAGGAGTGGGAGGGCCTAGCTGGATCAGGAACAGAATGGGAGAACAAGGAAATAGATACCACAATAAATGAAGACACCATGGGAATAGGAAGAATCAGTGCTAGAGAGGTCCCCAGGAATCCACAAAGATGACTCCACAATAGACTACTGGCAATGGTTAAGAGGGTGTCTGAGCTGACCTACTCTGGTGATCGGATGGCTGAACACCCTAACTGTCATGATAGAACCCTCATCCAGTAACTGAAGGAAGCAGATGCAGAGATCCATTGCCAAATCCTAGGCGTAGCTCCAGGAGCCCAATCGATGAGACAGAGGAGGGATCATATGAGCAAGAGATATCGAGACTATAATTGGAAAAAGTACAGAGACAACTAGCCAAACTAGTGGAAACACATGAACTATGAAACAACAGCCGAGGAGCCCCCATGGAACTGGACTAGGCCCTTTGGATAAGTGAAACAGTTGTTTATCTTGAACTGTTTAGGGGGCCCCCAGGCAGTGAGACCAGGACCTGTTCTTAGTGCATGAGCTGGCTTTTTGGAACCTAGTGCCTATGCTGAGACACTTTGCTCAGCCTTGGTGCAGGGAGGAGGAGATTGAACCTGCCTCAACTGAATGTACCAGGTTCTGCTAACTCCCCAGGGGAGACCTTGCCTTAGAGGAGGTGGGAATGGGAGGTGTGTTGGGGGAGAAGGCTGGGAGGTGGGAGGAGGGAGGACAGGGGAATCCTTGGTTGATATGTAAAATGAAGAGAAACAGTCTTCCTCAGGCTATCCAATGCCAAATGGTCAGCCCTGAAGATACATACATACATACATACATACATACATACATACATACATACATACATACAAGTAACATTAAAAACACTGAGCAAGCTGTATTTATTTGTTTAGTAATGTGCTTGTGTTTAATGACAATTAAAGAAAAAGAGGTCATGAATTTGAAAGAGAACAAGGTGAAGGGAGTAGATGAGAGAGTTTAGAGGTAGGCAAAGGCAGGAAAAATTACTTTTTTAAAAAATATCAATCTCAAAAAAATTTAAAAACAAAACTATAAGGAGCCCCAAATATTCTAATTTTGTTTTACTTAGTTTTGCCATCAGAGATAATCTTTTAAATGCACTGGAAATGAAAATAATGGTATTCTAAGTTTAGTTTGTGTATATACAGATATAATAATTTTATATTATATATGTTTAAACACATGGATTATCAATATATTTCTGTATTTTTAGTCAATATGCATTGTAACTAAAGTATCCTTTAGTAACCATCCAATTAAAGCATACACCAAAGATTAGGAAAAAAAAGTATTTACTGCAATGTAATCAAAAAATTTTCTGTCATTTGAACCTAATGAATAAAAAGAACTTTGGGTTTATAGTTCTTAGTTCCCTCCATTTTATTAGCCAGCTTTTTTTTTTTTTTTTTTTTTTTTGTAACTTTAAAAAAATAAAAGAGCCAGGAGGTAGCCGTGCATGCCTTTAATCCCAGTACTCCAGAGGCAGAGCCAGGTGGATCTCTGTGAGGTCGAGGCCAGCCTGGGCTACAGAGTGAGTTCCAGGAAAGTTGGAAAAAAATAATCAGTCCACATAGACTGCAAACATAAGAAGCTTAGCCTTTAAACCAATGATTTGAAAAGTGATAGGTTTCAGACATTCTTCCCTAACATTTAACAAAGGCTGTGCTTCTACAAGAAAAAAAAAAACAGGATTTGGAATTTAAAATGAATTCCCCATCTTTCCCCAAACATCAATAATACAAATGCATACCTTTTCTATTTTCAAGCTGGAATTTGGCGCCAATATCAAGTAGGTATTTTACTGTGTCCAGTCTACAGCTCTCAATGGCTCTACTTAAAGGAGTAGAGTTGTTGATTGACATTGCATCTATTATAGCCCCAGATTTAACAAGAAGTTCAACAATGTCTTGCTGGCCAGCATGGCATGCGAAATGAAGTGGAGTCCACAGAAAATTATCTGTTGCATTAACATTCGCCCTGTATAATAATAATAAGACAGATACACTGATTAAGAATTTTGGCTATTCCAAACATTAGAACCTAAAAAATTAAAGCAAAGAATGTTATTAAGCTATCAATTGGAAGAAGTCTGAGGAAAGAAAACAACAGTGCAAATTTTATGTTTTCATATGCTCCCAAATGCTTTAGTTTTGCATCATTTGGTAGTCTTAACTTCTTTTGTTTATATATATATGTTTGGCTTAAAAGTTACTTAGGTGCTGGTTTTTGCAAAGGTTAAAATCAAGGAAAATTCTAAATCTATTTCAGTGAAAATAAAGTTGGAGCAAAAAGATAAAATTTACATTAGTTCACTTTGTGTCTACTTTCTCTACATGTTCTGGAGTTTAAATGAATGTTCATTATTTTTAAATCTAAGCACTATGATGTATTATTTAAAATTTTCGCCCTCATTAGAACTTCACTCCCCAAAGTTAGTTACTCGGTTGTGTGATATTATGCAAATGAGTATGTTTGACATGAAACACTATCATAGCATTAAATGTCTTCTCATGGATTTGCAATAATTGTGCTGATAAGAGGATGCTCTTATCATATTAACTCACTGAATCATTAATGAGCTCAGAGCTCGTCCTTTTAGAGCTGGTTGCATAGTTGGGGAAATGGAGGCATACAAGTGTTCAGAAACTTGCTTCCAGTGACACAACTGTGGCAGAAGCAGCAATTAAACCCAGAAATGGTTTTCGTTTAAAGAGATAAATGAAAAGAACACGAGTTAAAGATCTTTATAAATGAAGCAAGGCGGTCGTTCCTGTCTGCAGATGGTGGGAAATGGAGAGGTCAGGATATCCTTTGTCACTGTCCTGATGTCTTTGATCATTGTGCCAGTTGTTTTACTTTATTTGCTGTGGTCTTCCATAAAAGAAGAGGAAGATTAAAATGTGACTCCACACCATCTCATCTTAGGTATGGCCCTAAGGCTGAATTGTCCCATCCCGAGCAAGAAGCAATCGATGTCAACTAGGAGACATTTCCAACCCAGAATGAAAATTATTTGCTTTCTCGGTGGTCATCTTGGTGGGCTACTACTGTCTGCGCATCCACGATCCCATGTGACCCACCCCTTCGCCTGCATCCTCAATTTTGGCTATCCACTGCAGTGGGGCAAATACCCAAACCCCAAACCTTAAAGCATACCCCTTTTCAAGAAGAAACTTGACCACATCCATGTTGCCGCTGGCACACGCTGTCATGAGTGGGGTCTTGTAAGAAGTATCCTTCATATCCACAGGTATTCCTGCCTCGAAGGCCTTTTTCAGAGAGGCAAGATCTCCTGCCTTGGTGATAAAATTAATATTTGTGAAGGCCCTCCCCGGATCATCAATGTACCACTCCGAATCGTCCTGGATGGGGTGTTCAGGTGGGCGGTCCCGGTTAAACCTGCTGCAGTCGGTGACGTTCTGGTAGGTCTCGATCATGTAGTAGGGCGGGCCCCCGTCTGGCCGTCTCGGAAAGGCGATCTCCGGGATGGTGCATATCGGGAGAGGTAGAACAAACTTGCCTTTCTTTGCCTTTTTGCCCAAACCCTTTCTCTTTTTCTTAGGCCCGAAAGATCCCAAGACGTAAGCCTTGCCTAAGTATCTGGTTCCCTTAAAGAACTCGTTAATGTTGACCCCGCTGTCCCGGCTTTTTTCATGCATTTGAGCAACGGTAAGCAGCTGCTCAGAGGTGGCAAACTCTTGCCTCTCCTCCAGGGTCACCACGAAGTCATCTTTGCTGACTACACCATCGCCCCTGTCCACGAAGGCAAAGGATTCCCGAAGGAAAGCCTCATGCTCCACGGACCAGTCATGCAGTCTGAGGGCCCAGAGTGGGTTAGGATTTTTAGCTCCAGGCTTAGCAAGTTTAGCCGCAGTCCGCTCTGCTCTACGTATTTCCTTGCCTGCGGCTTTGAAGCCTCCGTCTTTCGCCACAGCTCGGGGTGTTTTATGTTCCAAATTTTTCCATTTCAGGTCACATCCTAAAAAAGAAGCGTCACTGTTAAGAACATACCAAAGTTACCTTCTTGGCCCCACAAAACCACACTCCCAACTATTTTCTTGAGTTTGTGTAGTCAGAGGTTTGCCCTTAATATATGCCTTTGATGTATAAAGAACATATTTAGCCATTGTCATTACCAAAAGAAACAGCAATTTATTTTCCTGAGAGTGAACTTGAGTGAATTCTGAGAGACAAGTTTACAGTATGTATCTGCTCATCTGTATCCCTGTAGATAGATAACTTAGATAAAATGTAGATGTTTGAAACAAATATCATCAAATGGGGTATTTGCTGGGGAGATAATGCTAATAAAAAGGGAGGTTGCCCTGGAATTTAGTAAAAGGATTCTGGATCCACACAGCTTGCACAGGACTCCATCAATTCAGAATACAGAAGATGCCTTCTTCTTTTTTTAATACAAAATATTTTACAAGCTCAAACAATATTTCATATTTTCTCCATTAAGTGAAGGTAATTTATTCTAATTTACTGTTTTGTGGTAAATCATGTGAACAACCTTAACAGATGAAGAACTAATTTGTTTAATCAAAGTTGAGTATTCAAGACTTGTGTTTGTATACAAGATAAATATTAAAATTCATTATTTACCTTACTTAAAATAATAAGATAAAAAATTAAGAAGTCTGAACATGTCTAACTATGTCAGGGAATCTGCTTATTGCTACCAAGAAGTCTATAATATGTCTTGAGATATTAAAACCCATTATATAAATAAGTCAATCCATGAAGACGCTCTTTCTGGTTTTTTAATCTAGAGGCAGGCTAGGCAGCTGTTTTGCCACCATGACATAATAAAAGCATACAGATGGCTGTATGGGAACGGGACTCTTCATTTCTTAGCAAAAAGAGATGCCAAAGATGCTAGCCTTGTGAGACCTCAGGGTTCAAGGCAGTCTTCTTTTCTTATGAGTTGGGGAGAAGAGAGAAGACACCTAGAAATCTAAGCAACCTTCTCCCCCAAAAACAGGAAAGGAAAAAAGAATACTATCAGAAATGGTTTTTAGTTAATTCTTTACTAGAATTGTTAAAAAATGTGTATTTATACTAAAGCTAATAAACTTAATAGTAATAAAAATCCTTGGAGGGGTAAGTGACAATGGTAGCTTTGAAAGTTTTACAGTGGTCAGTTTTGAGAACAGTCGTTTGCTGGGAAAGTGGCCAGGACAGTTCCAGGGAGAATTCTGTAGCATGGTCGTGCTGTAGACATGCTGCTGTTTTTGCTTGACGATTTTGCTTTGTCTGGGATTCTAAACTCACAATACTTCTCAAGCCAGTTCCTTCGGATTTCCCCTGGAACTGAGGGTTTGGAGATTTTAAACCCATCTTAGCTTGCCCTCCTAGTTAGAAAACCTTTTGGTGGTTAAAAGACAGGTGTGAGCTTGTTTGATGATACTTCCAAACACTCTACAGATCTCAGAGCATTTTCAGACATTTGTTTTAGGAATGTGTCTTAGGATTCATCCAGGAAGATGGATTGTTTTTTTCCATCACTGGGTCAGGCACTCATTCATAAACCAAACTCTGGCTCTTTGCTTTTCAGGGCTGCATCCCAGTATTTTATCCTAGGATACATTATCGGTGGAGTACATGGTGACATTTGTCCCAGTAAGATATTGTTCAACACATTAAAGATGATTAAGATCACTCATCCTTGAAAGCTTACTAATGTTTAGAAATCTGGATTGTTAAAAATGAAATGTCAGAATAAAATGCTAATAGTGACAGATTTAAAATAAGACTAATTAGCTTACTGGGCAAGAATTGCATATGACAGAGTTTTTTAGTTGTTAAAACAGTTTATTATTGGGAGAAACATGGGCTTGTAAAAGTAAAACCAGGTCAATTATACTATTAGTTATGTGGGTCTGTTAATCATATATATAGGAATTAAAACCTAAATATATAAATGGTTCTGAAATTTCTTTGTAGAGGACAGGAAAAGAAAACACTTTTATTATACAGTTGTATGAATTTTTTTCTTTTTCATAAACTAGAAGAAAGATAAAATTCAAATATGCAAATATATCTCCACTGAAATTAAGCTTTACTATTACTATTACTATTATTTACTCTTACTCAACTAGTGGGTAACTAATAAAAAGTGCATCTGTTGTAAAATAAAATAAAATTTTAAAAAAGATGTCAACTAAACAAGCAAGGAAGAACAATTTTAAAAATAAGTGCATCTGTGTTGTTCAACTAACTAGTTAGTATTTCATGGTAAGGAATTTTCTAAAGCATAGTGTGTACTAGATAACTTGTTCCTGAGCTTTGAGAAAAATCTATATGTTAAGTGTTGTTTATACTGAAAATAGTCTATAAATTTTTTCCTTTTATTTTGTTTCCCAGAAAGTATTTCCATTATAACTACAAATTATTCAGACATGTTATTTTAATTTGACATGCATTTAAAACGTAAAATAATTGAAATTTCAGAAAAAAATAAAATTATTTTCAATGTTTTTCCTTCTTGAGATTGATTTTGGGACTCTTAAAATAAGAATATTAATCAATTTTAAGCATTTTAGTGTTTAGTTAATCCATCAAACACTTTTGGATTTCGGTTTTAATTCCTCTTATTACTAGATTCATAATTCAATGAGGAAAAAATTCCATTTTTATCCTATGTTGGGTGAGGATTGGTGACTGAAAATTAAGTAGATGATAATTGGTAGGTCTGAATTCTCTAGTCATTTATGAGCTATCAGACAGTTTTACCTCGCTGAGCTATATATTTACAGCAATCCGCAAAGCCACCCATAGCAGCATAATGAAGTGGTGTGTTCCCATCCATTCCAATCAACCCCATGTCTCCATTGTAGGCAAAGAGAAGCTTCAATATCTGCAAAATAAACAGGGAGTGGAAAGATAGGAATGCTCATTTACTACAAGAAGATTGGCAGCAAGACCTGTGCTATCCAATCTATTGTCTATTACCACATGTGGCTGTTGAAAATTCAAACTGAAATGAATTTTTAAAGTTCAATTCTTTAGCTTCTTAGACACATTTAAAGTGCTTAAAAGCCACCTATGGGCTAATGAGCTGCTGAAGCATAGAAGTTTTTCATCATTGCAAAAAGGTCTATCAAGCTGCCTTGTTGCAGATGACAGAAACAGCCAGGCACCAGTAGCTATCAGGGGCATAACACAGCATTGTTCTAGGTAGCAGGTGTGTTAAGTGTCATAGTCAACTACATAGAAAAATATTACTGGTAATATTCAGTGAATAAGCTAGCAAATATATATATAGACAAGTTAGCAAATGCATAAAACTGTAAAGAGCTAGGATATGTGGTCAGAGTTAAAGTTTTACATTTGGAAAAATCAAGATAAAACAATGTAATAAACTTAGAAAAAATGCCTGTCTTAGTGTAACCTACACAAAGGAGAGAGAAAAGAAAGAAGTCTTTAACAGTCAAATTTAAAGCAAATAGCAATTATTACATCAAAAAAGCCTCCTTTGGCAGCAAAATGAGCAGCATGGTGTCTATCATTGTCAAATGTATTCACTTCACCTCCTCTTTCCAATATGCCTCGGACTATGTCCACCACCCCTTCTCTTGATGCTTCCATCAAAGCCGTGCGCCCTGTGGACTGGACATGAAAGAGATGAAATGTTATTTTTATTTTGATGCATGAACCATGGTCAATACAAACATGGATTGAATACACTGGATCTTGGTTTTGTGCTAATGGTCTGCATTTTTATTGGTTTCTAAAAAGGAGGAAGAATTCAGTCAGTACTGTGTATGACTATGTGAAATGGAATTTTAAAACTAGAGTCAAGGTTGCTCTGCATACCCCAGTAAGAATGTCATGCAATCAAAGCATACTTCTATATAGAAAGAAGAGTAAAAAATGAAGTGGGTGGACAGCATGTTAAAATTAGGCAGCATTTGTGTTCTAATGAGAAAAAAAAATCTATTTCTGAATGTCTGGAAATGATAATTACAAAACCTGAAAACCCCAAAATTAGCTAGCTCAGGAGAGGAATCAAGATATGTATATGAGAGGCAACAGAATTTTCTTTTTATGGAGATACATTTTTATCAGGTGCCAATGATACCCTTTCTATTTGCTATAAAGATATTTTAACAATATGAATACTTAGGACCAATTTACCAACACAATTAGCGAATAAAGTGTAGAATGGCAGGGACGTAAAGACAATGAAGTGTATCATCTTCAGCACTTTGTATAGAGATGAACAAGCTAACCAGACAATTTTATCATGTCTCTCCCACCAAAACTACCCCTGCCTTTATTCCTATTTGTTTTGTTTTGACATTGGGTCTCCCTATGTAGCCCTGTCTGGTCTAGTATGTGTAGACCAAGCTGAAGTCTGCCTGTTTTTGCCTCTCAAGTGCTAGAACTAAAGACATGCATCACTATGATGGGCCCCAATTTTATCATGATCAAGTGCAAAACAAAATAAAACAAACAACTCCCTTCAACAACAAACCCAACCACTTGACTGTGTAATATAGTAGAATAAAGAAATATTAACCACAGGGATAGTCATACTGAGTTGATAGCATTAGGATTGGCTCCTTTCTCCAAAAATGTCAGGCATAAATCCTTCACATCATGTGCTTCTTCACAAGCTCTGAGGAACACTGGCTTTCCTTCATAGGTGATGTTGTTGACATCTGCACCATGATCCAAGGCAATCAGTGCACAGCGATAATGCCGCTTTGTGGGTAAAATGCAGTAAAACAAAACACCTATAGAAAAACAGTTCCACAATGAAAATTCCTTGTCCAGTGCCAAGTGGCCAGTCTTGAACACATAATACATACACGTGACATTATATGGACTACACAGGTTGTATTTAATAATATACTTATACATATGCATATATATATATACATATATGCATACACTAATAACTAATGAATGAAAAAAGAGGCCATAAGTTTGAAGAAGAGTGGGGAAATGGTAGAAGGGAGGGTTTGGAGGGAGAAAGGGGAGAGGAGAAACATTGTAATTAAATTAAATTAAAATCTTAAAAGGAAAAAGAAATTATTAAAAATCTATATATATTTGAATCAGGCAAAAAAGTAGGAGAATTAAAAAGTTCATCAGATGTGTCTTTGACAGGGCTAGAAAACATTTATAAATGTTTATAAATTAAAATGTTTTTAATTATAAATCTTACAGGACTTGAGCTAGGGAAGAATTGGAGCACTGATATGTGAATCCTTGTTGGCCCTGGGATTTAACAATTTGTGGTCCATAACCCATGTGACCGTTCAGCTCTCCAGGGCTGTGTGACCCAGGAAGTTTCTTGGGTATGATGAGTTCCCTTTGAACCCATGGTTATAGAGAGTAGGCTCTGGATTTCATAACAGTAAGAAGAAAAACCAAAGCCACTCTACCATCATGATAAATCTCTTTGTTCCACCAGAAAGGGGAAAAGAAAATACAAAAATTTTATATCCAGCCAAGCTGCTGATCATATGCAAAGTCAACACACATGACTAAGGATGTAAGAAATCAGTGAGTGAAGTCCAAATGAGTGGGCTCAAGTACCATATATAAAATCCGAGTTTACCAATAGGTCTACATGTGTGTAAGAATCTCTGCCATCTCTTCAATCATAGAAATGAAGCTAAATTGCTGAAGGGATTCTAGGTACAGATAGATAATTTCATTATAATGTAGAAATTATGTAACAAAAATTTGGAACAGGGAGGGAAGAATAGATACTATAAGCATATGATATTTTCCATCTTCTGCTGGAAATCATGATACTTAAAAAATATAAGGAGATAAAAGAAACAACAAGGTATTAATTGAGAGGATGAAGGGATTCATTGGAGAGCTAAGTGATTATAACTGACCATAGAACTGAGTGGTGGGAGGTTCTTGTAGCAACATGATTCTTCACAAATAGAATCAATGGATAACAGCAGTAGAGGATAACAACTAACAGTTTCAAGGGTGCAGAAAGCTAGCAAGTTAGCCATTAAGAAAACTAAAAAACTATTAGTTTTATAAAGTAAAGAAAAAACCCTAGAACATAAAACACATAGGAAAATACTTTTGTATATATACACACACATACTGTAACTTCATAATATAAAATAAAATGACAGTTCTGAAGCCTAATTTATGGACACTTAGACACATACAGAGTAGATAAAAACTACACTATTGAAAGTGAAGTTATATACAAAATAAAGCCCTAAATATACTTCATATAAGATGACACACCTAAAATAGGATTACTCAGACATTTGGAAAAACAAAGATGAAACTAAAAATGTAGTTCAAAGATAAAGGACTTGTCTAGCTACCCTGGGTTTTATCCCCAAACTATAGAAGAATTTAGAAAGAAGGAATGGAGGAAGGTGAAGGGGGAGGAAAGGAGGGAAGAATGGATATCTGGATGGAGAGCCAGTCAAAGACATAGTTAAAAACAGAAAATCAGAATTTTCTAATATATACAAAACATATACAGAAAGTAAGACCTGAGCCAGAGGGTCAGGGAGTTTGCTGTGATAGTGTGATAGTCTCTTAGTGATATTAGCAGCTACACCCATAAAGTCACAAATACGACTGCCCAAACATGAGCTGAACCAGAAAAACACCAATGGGCATGCCGAAGATGATGGGGAAAAGCCCATAAGGCCTCAACCCTACACAAAGAACTACAGACAACTGAGGAAAGGTGTAAGCAGGAGAGATGGCTTTGCTCAGAGAAGAGTACACCAATTGGTTGTCCAGTGCCAAATGGTCAGCCCTTAAAACATACACACAAGTAACAGTATATGAACTGACCAGACTATATTCTGGAATATACATGTAGAGACATACACACATATGCATGCAATAACAATGAGTGAAGAAAGAAGCCATGAATTTGAAGGAGAGTCAGAATGGACATATGGGATGGTTTGGGGAGAATATTGTAAATACATTATAATCTCAAGAATAAAATACAACTTAAAAAGGAAGTCAGAGCTGACCAAAACAACATAACAGAGAACCAAACCAAATCCAACTTTGAATGTAATACTAGACTTAAATTTCTTACAGAACCCTAAGGTGCATGTGAAGTGCATATTTTGCAGTAACCTTTGTAACTCATAGTTCAAAGCCGACAGTCTTTATCATAGCCTTTTAATGACCATTTAAATATTCTGTTTTCTTGTCCTGTAGAAATACCATGTAGCCAGTCAAACTTCAAGCAGCAGGAAGCAGGATGTTAATGTCAGAGATTACCTTGGAATAAATAAAGTCGTGGCCCCTAGCTGAGGATGTGCAAGCCAAATAAGGCTCCCTCAGAGGGAGGAGACAGGGGCCTTGTGTTAATAATGAATCAATTTACAAGATTACATTTCTCTTAATTCATATTTTGTTTCTCCCCATGTTACTTATATTGTTTTCCCATATGTTCATATTTCCCAGTCTTTTATTAACTTAGTACTAATTTGAATGAGTATAGATGTTACCCATATGGCTGTTGTATTTGCTACAAATATTTATTTGACCTTGTTCCCAATTTTACATCTTTAGATTTTTATGTTTTATAATGTCTCATTCTGATATACATCTGATTTATATATCTTGTTTCCAATGAAGAAAATAAACTTTTCTTCATTACAGTGCTTTTCAGTTTATTCTACACAACTTAAAGTATGTTTGATGCCATGTGGAACGACTGCTACACAGTCAAATACACACGCAAAATTATTTTGACTTTGTCCCCACAGGAACAAAAGAAGATGCCTCAATTTGTTTTATTCAATGATTATCTAATGAATTCAGTAGTGGGACCAATTTTACATGTGTCATTTTTAACATCCCTGTGATTCCTTAGTTCACAGAAGGCACCTCAGAAAATGGCATTCTATGGAACTTTGGGGTGGGCAGGTTCTCACCATGTAACACTGGCTCAACAGAGTCTCACTATGTAGAGCAGCCAGGCTGGCCTGAAGCTCACTATATAGGCCAGGTTGTCCTCAAACCGCTGTGATTCTTTTGCCTCTGCTTCCTATTTGTGGAGATGATAGGCATGGACTACCATTCAGCCATTATCTGAAGCTCCAAAGTTGTGCTTTCAGTACTTAAAAACTTAAACTGTATTTGACCTCTAAATGTATCTGAAGTTTATTTTGCTGTGTGGCTCAATTGAAAGCCATATATCAAATATCAAGTTGGCAGTGAGTGATGAAATAAATTTTCCTTCTGTCAGAAAATATTAACAATGTAAAATGGGACTCATTTCTTCAGTGTAGATTAGTGTCAATGAGTTTGTAGTTGTGGCAATCTTTTGGGACAACTAACACAATCTACCATTTTATATTGAGTCTGTTTGTAATTATTTTGTTAATTTTCATGAGGTTGGCTCAACTATGACCTGGACTTCAACTAAGCAAAAATCCCCAGACCATGTTTTGAGACAGATAACTTGTCAGTGGAAATATACATGTAATGATTCTCAACAGCCATGTAATATTTCAAATATTTCCAAGTGTATTAAAAATTGTCCTTACAAAGTTGGCATTTAAGAAAAATCTATCATAGTTTTCTCAGGATCTCAAATGCAGTCCTTCCTAACCTGGAAACCAGACAGGACAAAATCCACCTAAAGTCCTAAGTCTAACACCATCATGTTCTAAAATGTAAGAAATGCTTCTATCTAAACAAGATTTTACCCTTCACTATAGATGGTTATAATACTGACTGCATGTGTAAAGTTGGAAGCTGTCCTCACTTGAAAGACTGCCAAGCCAGACATGGAGGTCCCTACCTGAAATTTCACTATCTGAGAGCTTCAGGCAAGATGACAGAATTCAAGGTTAGCCTGAGCTGAGACCAGTCTCAAAAATTAAACAAACAGTATAATAAAAGAAACTATCAAATATAGATCAACCTAGTTGCTTTTAAATGAGTGGCTTTCAGAACTCATTTCCATATGAAATTCTATTCCTAAAGTGTTTCAGGTTATGAAGAAGCCATGTATTTGGGTACAGCAATGGGAACTGAATCTTTTACTTAAGATCTTATTTCACGTCTAAAGCTTGGAAACTTTCTAGATTTCTGGCTACAAAGTGGGCATGCCCTGCTGGACAGAATGCTGGAGCTTTACCTTTTCCTTCATTATCAACTATCGTCATATCTGCTTTGGCTTTGGCTAAGATTTCCATTGACAGCTCATGGCCCAGCTCCGCAGCCCTCATTGTCGGCGTGCAGCCCATGTGGTCTTGCACATCAGGGTGAGCGCCGAGTCCAAGGAGAAAGCTAACCATGTCAATGTCATTGGAAACTGAGGCTAAGTGGAGAGCACTAAGTCCATCAACAGGTTCAGTGAAGTTGATTAGCTCAGGGTATCCAAGTCTGGTCAGCTTCTCTATCTGCTTCTTGTCTTTGTTGCGAACACACTGAAGAACTCTGTAGATCTGTAAGTTCTCAAGTCTCTTGTCTGCTAAAGCCATGTTAGACGTTCACTTCTTAATAATGCTTTCTGGACTAAGACGAAAACTACAGAGCAAAAAGGGAAAACAAAGAAAGGTTAACTGTTACTGTTATTTTTATTAAATTACAGTATTTTAAAGCTCAAAAATGAGATTTTTAAATATTATAATTTAGTCTAACCACTTTTAGAAAATATACATAACTTAAAAACATGCAGCTTGTAAAACATTAAAATATTTCAGTTTTCCCAGAGTAATTAGTTCTAGTTTGTGTGGTAGTTCCCTTGTTGTCACGCATAACGTCTCCTCACTGCCATAGTGTTTACATTTGCCATGAAGAAAGTGAAGTTAACCGATATGGGTTTCCATCTGTGGCTCACACCAGTAGTTCCCCTACACTGAAGTGTACACATAGTTTAGTCATGTTCATGAAGAACCTGAGTCTATCGGGCTGTGTGAGGCACCAAAGTTAGGAGGGTATAGAAGTCATGAGTGGTCACAGACAAGCATTGGAGAAACCAGGACTGTTTGCAGGGTTGCCTCCTCAAAGGAGAAAATTTAATAGCTGTTTTCCACCCAGAAGGCTTGGAGCGGATGTTGTTAATTACCTGGTGACTTTGCTATTTGTAGAGCCAGACATTATCCAAATCCTCCAGAATGTTAATCCCAGACTCTTCTTTCCCTAGACCTTACCTTTAGCTTTGTTTCTCAGTCAAGAGAACCCATCCTTAGGGGAGATGTCACATGTACTTTATAGCCTTCTGACCTCTTATAGTATCTCCTTCAGAGACCACAACAGATCTTTGGCCCTTAAGCTATAGAACCCATCTTCATTGTAGAGATCACATGTACTTTGCAAAAGAATTTTAATATAGTCATGCCTTAAGCTTTATTGTGCACATGGGATTGGGGATAATTGTTGTTACCAGGAAACTTTTTTCCAAAATTGTACTGGATTTAAATATGTCTAAAATAAACTGACCTGGTATCAGACTCCAGAAGTTTTGACCCTGCACTAAGTAAGTCGTGGTGACCCAGGTTTCATTTTTACCTCACCCAGAACATTTCACTGCCAGACACAACACTTGCTGAGACCCCTGTAGGAGGGATGATTCTTACATTATCTTAAGTTTGGTTAAGGCAGCTATGTGGAGGAGAGACAACTAAAATTTTCATAAGTAACATCAATGTTAAATTGAGCACTCTAATGTATAATTTCACCTCCTTAGAAAAATTATCAAGTTTTCTAGAAAAATAATAATTTGATTGAATAGTAGGCCTTGATTATAGATATGCTCAGCTTGCTCATATCTTTCCTGGAAAAAAAAAACACCTCATTATCATATGACGAACTAATTTTAAGTAGGGGCTGTCGTTCTGCCGCTAGTCAAGTCCCACTGCAGTGAACCATCTATCTCCAGGTGTACTGAATTACTTAATTGTATACACCTAGGTGATGCTGGCCAATCAGCATCCTGAGGGCTTTCTCTAGCAGAACTATGTAGAAAGACTGTCACTACTGAAGCTACCAAGCAGTGGGTTTTGCCACTGGGACTATTGCAGAAAGCATACATTCAAATGTGAGGACAAATTGTTGGCAACAGCTGTTTCCTGAGCCTCACTGTGTCAGAAGCCCACCCCACCTGCACCTTATATCAAAAGCTGCATGAGAAATCTGTCTCCCTTCTTCTGTATGTCTTATCTTGGCACCAGGCAGCTCGTTGTATGTCTTACTGCCTCCACAACAACCCCTACATTCCATTCTCTAACATCTGCACTGGAGATTTTCTATTTTACTACAAAATCAGCAAGTATACACATTCTTTTCCCCCACCACAATCTGCTACTTCAGCTACTTGTTCTAGGGTAGAAAAGTGTACCATGTGATGCTTCGTTCCTCCTTCATGTCTCCATAGGCAACCAGGCTAGGCCCTGTTTCCTGTTTCTTCCTTTATCATTGCCCATTCCTCTACTGTATTCTTTCCTGGCTCTTTTTTTATGACATCTCATTGCTGGAGTGTCTTCATAGGGCACAAGGCCCCCTTTTTTTTTCATCCTTGAGAACTCTGTGACTAGCGTCATCTCTTGACCTTTTTCTCAGTTTTCAGCTTTTGATTCTTCACTCTCAGGTTTATGTAGCCCCCATGAGCTCTCCCTAGAGTGACAGAAACTATTACCCATCTGTATCTGATGGGCTTCATTAACATGTCATAGCCAGAGGCCAATTGATAGATTCTGGGAGAGAAGGAACATTTCTCTTTCAGGTTGTGACCCTTGGTAAGTTGTCTATGCTCCAGCAGATGGCCCTATACTCATGCATATACGGCAACACTAACTGGACAAAGTGGAATACTAAAAAATAAAGTAAAGAAGATGACATGAAGGATGACATGTTGAGGGATATCCAGGGGTAACTGAAGGGGGGGAATGGAGGGAAGATAGTCATAATGTATTCTGTATATGTATGAAATTCCCAAAGAAGAAATTACTTTTAGAAAGAAATATGGCCATTGCAGAATGTATAATACTATCTTGACCTTCTCCACTTCTTCCCATTTCTGATAATGGTACCAACAGCCATGCACTTACTCAGATCAAACCACTAGAGTTACGTCTCATTATTTTTCTTCTTCATATACAACCCCACTCAACACCTAACAGCAAATCTCATGACCTCTGCCACCAGTGTATATTTTGACATCAACTCTGCACTAGTGTCCTAAGCCAAATTATTGCCAGACTTCCAGCTTGTCTAAGTACTTCTCTAACAGATCTATACATTCCATGATTTAGACAACTTATAGAAAAAAGTCCTTTTTAAAATGTAGATCAGATAAAATCATAACACGCTTTTGACACCAAAAGTTTTGGGATGATTTTCTAAAAATGCAAAGTGTGTGTTCAATGCCCAAACACTCACCACCTAGGGGCTACCAATAAGATTACCAATACTTGCTTGATTTCATATCTACCCATCCCTTTATCCACTGATTAAGCTCAGTTTTTGATGCAATTCAAAGTAAAGTGCAGACACATTCTAATATGCATATCCTGAACTTGAATCTATTATGTATTTGTATTCCTTCTCACATTTTGGCTATATAATGAAATGAGCAAATATTAAATTTGCCAGCCTGGTCTACAGAGTAAATTCCAGGACAGTCAGTGCTACACAGAGAAACTCTGTCTTGAGAGAAAAAAAAAAAAAAGATGAGAGAAATATATTTAACTTATGTGTCTTTCCCATTAGAATCTGGTCATCATGGAACATAAGATTTATAATACTGTTATTTCTCTATGCCCTAGAACCTGAATTATAGGAGGTATTTAATGAGTACTTTCTCAATGCTTAACAGCTTCAAGTTAAAAGAACTGAAGAGGCAGCATGAAAGAAAACACCGGGTTTCTGGGTTGAGCCACTAGATACCTGTATCTGAAATGGGCTGTTCATGGTGGGCTCCACATTGTTTAGGCAGAGTAGAGAGCCCTTCGGCATACTGAAAGGATAGACAAGCTGATATCCACTTTCGAGACGTCAGGGGAGATGTCTGATCCAGGTCCGTGGTGGGTTATGAGGTGTTCAGCAGTTACAGGGCAGCTGAAATGGAGTCAAGAGCAACTGTCAATACCAAATCCAGAAGGCCAAGCCGTTGCTTGTCCTCACTCTTCTGCCCTTCTCCCCTTTCCTGCTGAGATATCAGCCACCATATAGCTGAGAAATTGATGTCCTGCTTCCTTCCGGTAGGCCTTCTCTCCCTTTCTAGTCTATCTCTAACATATGGTGGACTAGGAAACCAGAAAATGGAGTTTGTTCAAACTTTTGTACAAACAGACTTTGAGTAAACCCTGGGTCCATCACCCACCTGCCTTTCCAGCATGGCTTACTGACACACATTTCAGATGTATTCATAACTCACTTGTGGAGTAGTGTCATACTACACATATAGACACATACGTATGGAATAAGACAAAATGCTGCTAAATAGTTTATTGATTAAACTGAATCAAACCTGCTTTATTTGTGAGGACAGGGACTCAACAGTCAGACACTTTGATATTGTCTAATTCCATTCATTAAAAGAAAAAATGCTCCCCGTAAACACAAACCACAAAAAACTGACATCATGACTCAATTAGGCTCTGATAATGGGTTCAGAAGGTCCCTAGTCAGTCTCTGGGCTGGAAGACAGTGGCATGTAATTACAGTGTCTTGTCTTGAGTCCTTTATTTGGAGTCTGAATATTCTTAAATTATATAGAATACCCACCCCGTTTCCATTCCTCCCTTCTCCTGTATGCTTTCAGATGATTTTTCAGGAACATTTTCTTTTCATGGGGAGATGCAGAGACCTTTAAATTCTCCACAAGGTCCACAGTATGGGTGGTGCATTAGAAAAATGGATGAAGCCACACGTGACAGAGGAGTGTAGGAGAGGGGAATCAACTCTTCTGCATCCATTTCACCCACTGGTTGCATTCTTGGACAGGTTAACTAGAATAGTCTGTTTTCAGTGACTTCATCTGTGAACTGGGGATACACAAACGTTGTCACTTTGTGGGGCTGCCTCAAAAGGAAATGAGAATCCTTGCAAAACATTTAGACAAGTCCTTCAGGGCAGTCTGGCTACAAATAACCACCAGCTCTGTGGGTTTCGTTTCAGCCCACCCATAGACATCGGTGTACATTTGTGGGTTTTTCTCTGTTGCCTTCAGTTTTGAATCCCAGAAAAATCCAAGAATGAGAAGGGCAAGTAGATGTCATTTCACAGCAAAGGGTAGGGTACCAATCTCACCTTCTCGTCCTAGAGGCGATCAGAAGCGGGATCTCTCAGAGTAACTGCGTCCCTGGTCTTGTGAGGGCCTCGGGCCCCTGTTCTCTGTCGCCTGGGACTGGCCCGAGCCAAGGCCTTAGGCCCCAGTATTGAATGGTGTCCCTTCCGGCAGAGCAGGCCAGCCTGCGCGCAGGCAGCAGCCAAGAGTGTGTGTGTGTGTCCGCCAGCATGCGACCAGGTGATCATAGGGGGCGAGCTGCAGCCGCCAGGCTGGGCCCACTGTGAGCTTCACCCACGCGCAGCCTGCTGCCAGGGCAACCACTCAGGTACGCCACAGGGTGGAGCTTACCCTAGGCCCCGCCCACCGTGGGCGGCGGAGGTGGTTTAGTTCCAGCTAGGATGCTTCTACACCTGAATCCAAGGAGTGGAGCACCAGGACTGCACTCTTCCATTCTGTTCGCCCACCTCCTGCCCTCAGTCAAAAAAATAGAAAAGTGAAGCTGCGTGTGGTAAATAGTAATAATTAAATACACAATAGTTTACTGAGTAATATTAAGTAAAAGTGAAAAATGCAACAAACTGTACAAATGAAAAATGATTTTTTTGCTCATACATTCCTAAAACTATTTATACACAATGGAAATATCTTTATTTCAGAGCCAGCCCCCCCCTCCCCCCCCCACGCACACACACCATTTTGGAGGGAAAATTTGAAACTTTAAGGTGAAGGAAAAGCCTATATTTTAAAAAAAAAAATTATATTTTTGTGCATGAGTGTTTTCCTGTGGGCCTATAAGTAACTATGTGTGGACAGTGCCCGCAGAGGTCAGAAGAGCGTGAAGCATCCTCTGGAACTGGAGCTACAAAAGGCTGTGAGTCGCCACGTGGGTGCCTGGAACCAAGCCCACTGGTCTTCTGCAAGAACAGTAGGTGCTCTTAACCACTGACTCATAACTCCAGCCCAAACTTTCATGGTTAAAATTAAATAATTTGGCCGGACGGTGGTGGTGCACGTCTTTAATCCCAGCACTTGGGAGGCAAAGCCAGGTGGATCTCTGTGAGCTCGAGGCCAGCCTGGGCTACATACAGAGTGAGTTCCAGAAAAGGCACAAAGCTACACAGAGAAACTCACTCAAAAAACAAAACAAAACAAAAAAAATTAAATAATTTGAAGAAGTTTCTAAAGTCAAATAATTCCTGACACCCAGCCTTCCTTATCTACCACAGAGATATTGTTTTAAGGATTATTTCACACAAAAATACTAAATGATACACAGATAGTATGATAGTATGAAGAACATGAATTGCAATGTGACTAAGGAAAAAGAAAACTGGAAAAAGAAAGGAAAAAGAAAGGAAAAGAGGAAGGAGTAGAGAGTCAAAGGCATGAATATAAAAACCAGGTTTTACCACTGGTCACCTCTGTGTTTCTTCCTGATACTGTACCCTCCTCCTCCTGCCCTTTGAACTTTGTATTTAATGTCCCCTAGCATCCAGAACTGTGTTGCTTCGTGTGAATGGTTCCCTAAATCATGGGTGTTTAGAATGGAATCACATGTTTATAAATTGTAATGAAATGGAGAAAATAGCTGCTATGATAGCTTGTGTCTGGGACTCCTGTGCACTTTGAGGGCCCGAGGCCGGAATCCAGGCCTTATAGCAAGTTTAAGGCCAGTTTGAGTTTCATGAGACCCTGTCCCAAGAACAACAACCACTACACAAACACACACACACACACACACACACACACACACACACACACACGCGCGCGCGCTTTACTTAACAGTTGCATGCTATTCCACTGCATTATTATTCATGCTCCTTTTAAGCCAGCAGTACTATTGGTGGATATTCAGTGTATTTTCAATATTTGCCATTAAAACCTAAGCTTCTAGGACCATGTTTACTCATAGTTTTTAGGAAAGTAAGTGCAAAATTTTCTCTAGGGTGTATGTTAGCAGTGAAACTTCTGGGACATAGATTACATATAATATCAAGAAAATGATAACGTGTTTTTCTTATTTTGGTGACACAGTTGATGTCAGTGGTAGCCTGGTTTAATTCTGAAATCCATGAAATTGTAAATATGTACATGTTGGAGGATTCACATTTAGAAGATGGAAGGGAACAGATTAATAAGTCTGTCAGAACTACTGACTGGAAGCTGACAGAATCTAACACTTAGGTTCTACCAACATAAAGTATGAATGTAAAACAGAGCCCTGGCTAAGATGTCCATTAGCCTAACTTGTTCTATCTTTATCTGGTGATGAGTATAATATTTTATCTTTAAATTAAAACTATTTTGAATTTAAATGAAAATAGTATTCATATAGTCTCAGACATGTCCCTAAACATGTGATTAATAAAAATTATTTATTGAATTACTTCACACATGTTTATAAAAACTGTCATTAAATCTCCATAGATAAGCTGCTTTGTTACCAGAAGCTTGGGAATTTTTGTTGGTTGGCCTGGAAAGCCAACCTTCAGTAGATAGGCCCTAACCTGTTAGTTAACTCATAAGGCATGCCTGTGGGTGGTGGTATATTATTAGAAATAAACCGTGTTGAGGTTTAAATGTATGTTGACATGAGATTGAGGTAAAGCTGTCGAAGGTGTTTTGCTGTTACTGTCTTCTTTTCACAGTTCTTTACCAAACTGTCTGTCTCTTCTAAAGTCCATCCTTGCCTCAAAGCTCGCCCTGTTTCGGAATGTGCCTCTGTGTGATGGGAAAGGCTGCTGTCAGGGCGTCCTGCACAGGGATTTAAAACTGTTTGTTGTACAAGTAAATCACATGTCAATGACAGATACATTGTATCTTTTCAAATGATAAATAAAAACATGTCCAACAACTTTAAAGTGAGAAATAAATTGGTCGACAATATAAAACACCACTTCATTCTTCCATCTGCAGCTCACCTTCACTTTTAATTGCAGCAAGTTTGAGCCATGTCTTGAATGAGGGCTGAAGAATGATTCTTTTAGAATATGAGCAATTTGTGCATAATTATATTCAGATCAGAATCTACACTTTCTCTAGCTTAGAGAAAAGCTATTTTAGGATCTCATGAGGGGAATAAATACCTTGGAAGCTCTTGCTGTGAACATTTTTCTCAGCTTGTGTCTTGATTCTTCTGAATAGTCTCATCTATTTCTGAGGCTTTTCTCTTTTTCTGAATTCTGAAATACTTAGATTGAGTGGGATTACTTATCACTTGAAGATGGACAGAATATTCCGGTCTGCATTTCTAAGGGTACACTTTTAATCACAATTTCAAGTTCTTGCACTTATCTTTGGGGTTTATACTTATGAAAAAGATCAGTGCTAGTAATTTATAATAGTTTATGTAAGTTTTCAAATGGACTGGCATATGACTGGCAGTGGTTCATTTTATAATTCCTGTAGCTTCTCAGATGATGTGGTAGTGTCTTTTACTTTCTTGATTATAGGTCAGCTTTTCTCTTTAATCTGAATCATAAGGGCTGCTTTATAGAGCCTTTCAAAGAAGGCACTTTTATGATATATCTTTTCTAATGTATTTTGTTGTTTTGAATTTAGCTATTTTCCTTTAATATTTCATAATAGCACCATTCATTTTATATGTTTTTTATTCACTAATTTTAGGCTAGAAACTGTTTTCTCTCTAACACACTTTATTAATGTAGGCCCTAAAGGATATATGTTTTTCCTTGAACATATTTTCATTTGTGTTTCCTGGTCTTAGTATTAAGTAGTCTTTTAATTGCTTCATAAAGAACTGAAATATTACTGTGCCCTCCTCAATGCCAAGATGGAGTATGCTGCTTAATTTTCAATTAATTAAACTGTTGATCATTTGGAAATAATTTAATTTGCTATATTATGATCAGATAGTGGGACTATTAACTGACTTTAAGAAATAATTCATAAAAGGACATAAAAAGTATATTATGTGGAAAATGAAATTAATGTATTTAATCAACTTCATTATATTATTCCATTTTCCTCTGTATTTGACTACTTTTTAAATATGTTCAATTCAAAATATATTAAATCTTCAGTAATAAGAATATTTTATCACACTCTTCTTTGCTAAGAAGTTTTACTTTATCTGTTGTTGTTTCCGGGCACATCTGAATCCCGACTTTGGTCTATTATAGTCCCTCTTCTGTTCTCAGGTAGAGTCGTGGTGATTGATGGGCTTTAGTACTCAAGTCTGGCTATTTCAGAAACATTTCTGGTTGTCCGTGTAAATCTGTGGAAAGGTAAAAATTTGTGCTCCCCTGAAAATAGTGATAATATTGTGGTGATGTGGATTATTTATATAATCTCCTAACTCTCCATTGAGAAACACAGCTCAAATCCCTTCCATTTCGCACTCAACACATCTGGTTTCTAATAAGGATAATGTAGTGGAACAGACAGGGAGACATCAAAAATGAGGGCACAAGAGACACGATGGCTTCTAACTCTGAGAATATTGATATGAGGCCAGAGGGGAACTGAAGCCTCCAGCCAACAGCCATGGCCTAGACACCCAGGAAGTAAATCCTTCAGCTGCAGTCTCACTGTTCCATGTCTCCAGTCTGGAGCCACCATCTTGAATCCCAGCAGGAGAAGCCCAGAAGTAGCCCCTCTTTCAGAGAAGCTGAGTCCATAGAAACCAGGAAAATGATTTCTGCTGCTTTAAGCCATGAAGTTTGGGTGATGATTATTTTAAAGAACAAATGGTAACATATTCACTTCTCTGGAGGATGATGAAGAATTGATTATAGATCATGTATGGAACTGTGCTCTTGGTTTTGCTATGGGATTCAACAACTTACACTGGGAACTTCTCTGTTTTAAAACAATAAACAAACCAGTCTTGTCCAGGCTGGCCTAAACCCAAAGTTCATGTTAGCCTCATGACTTAGTCTCCAGAGTAACTGAGATTGCAAGTATGTGTCATCATGTTCCACCATACTTTTCTTTTGTTCATTTTTAATCCCTGAACATTTCTGTCTGGATCATTTGTTTGTGAGTAGAGTTGTATATCCAGGATTTACCTCAGATGGGTACTTCAAGGCTAGATTCTCTGAATTCTTGTAATCTGTGAATACGTCTACTTCACTCTGATGAGTATCTTAGTATGTGTTGAACTTCTGGGGTCATGTCCTTTGCCTGAGCACCCTAAATGTTTCCTACTACCCACAAACACCTCCTATTTCCCTTCAGTGGGTAGGTATTTTACTCTTCTTGAACATTTGGGGAAATTTCCTTTCTACTTTGTATGTAAATGATTGCTTCTTCCTTAAGATTTGAAACATTTTCCCTTTGTTATTCTGTTTTTGGAAAATAACCAGGATGTATTTAGGCTATTGCCCTATTAATTTTGTCTAGAGACCAGGCGCCTCTTTTAGTTTACAGATTTTGGTTTTCAGCTGAGAGTACATTTGATTTTAGTCATTTGTTTAATTTTTTAAATTTTAATTAGTTTCTGTGAGCACTGACAGCTCAAAAACTGGCAAGAGGGTGCTTTGAAATGCTTAGGAATTATTTGGGGACCTAAGTTAAAATGTAGATTCTCATTGTGAGGACCTAGCAGGCCAAGAAGATACCTATGCATACAGGTACGAGTGATGCTGGAGATGTCAGGTTTTTCTTTCTAAGATCATCCCACAGCCCAGGTGATCATAGGGAGACTCCATGAAGATTGGCCATGAAATGCTTGATTTGTCCTATCATGCTGCAGGAAATATCAACAGATGTGGTTGGGAAGGGGAGAGTGGAGAAGGCAAAGTTTGGGGAAGTTACTGTTTGGCTCTTGTATTCTTCCTAAATACAATCAGGCCACTCGAGCAGAACAGAAGTCTGCACATGCATCTCCAGATAAGAGGCAATTACCATTTATATGTCATGTATTCCAGAACTCAGAGATGGTGACTGCATCTTATCTAAAGACTTCCAAAAACAAGAGGCTCCATGCAAGTTTTAAGCCAACAGATTGGATGAGTAAGCAAGGCTAGCCACTTCCAATTTATTCTTTTAACCTCTTAGAGGGATGCAAAAATAGGTTCCCAAGAATTTCTGCATTTCTAAAGGTGATCTCTGATACTAACTAATAAGTAGACACTGTGAGCCACTCTGGCAAAGGAGCAGTGGAACAACAGGAAACTGTAAAGTAAAAACAAAAACAAACACAAAACAGAAAAATAAAATAACAACAACAAAACCCCCCAAAATCTATTGTTTGTAGGCTTGGATGGGAAGTGCTAGCTCAAGTAAAATAAAGTCTAGACCCACATGTGCATGAGCTATGTTAAAGCTTGCACATCAGTAATTGTTTACATATCTGGTTCTCCCTATCTGCCCAGTTCCTCAGTAGAATCAACTGTCGACTTCATCAAAAGAGGACACCATGGTCCAGCTGCTCTACCAAGATGCCATCACTGACCATCTATCAGAACAGTTGATGGGTTCCATGCTAATACTGATATTGCTTGGATTTCATTGATCTATTAGTTAGGATTCTCTAGGGGAACAAAACCAATGGGATTAACATACAAAACATTTAGTTAACTCTAAATTTAATAAAAATTTAATGTCTGTTAATAAGTATTTAACCAAAAAAAAAAAAACAACAAAATCACACCAGAGAACTGAGAACCCAGTAGTTATTCAGTCCTTGAGGCTGAGTGCTTCAGCAGTGGGAGTAGTCCCACAAAGACTGTCTTTTTATGAGGGTAGGCTGTCACTAGTCTCAATCTAGCGACAAAAATCTGGAAGGTTCCTGGAGAACTGCTGGTCCCTAGTCCAAGATGAAATTTTGGAAATGCTTGTTCTAGTATCATCAACAGAATCATCATCATCATCATCATCATCATCACCATCACCATCACCATCATCATCATCATCAGCGGCAGCAGCAGCAGAAACAGCAGCAGCAGGAATAGAGCAGATTAACAGAGTTGTAAGAGGGAAGGCCAGGCAAGCTAATGTTGAGATGATTTTCCTTCTGCAATGCTCCCGTTACTTGGACTGCTGTCAGAAGTTGCCGTTCACAGTGGGGTGCATATCATCACATAATCATCAAAGAGATCAGGATGATTTTTCTGGTGCATCTCCTACTCAGGTGATTTTAATTTGTGGTAAATGGACATTAAAACCAACCAACATATTCAAATAAGTAATTAGAATGTTTTTCAAGAACATTCTCAGTTCAGTGAAGACTTTTAAATAAATAATAATTAAGCACTATTTTTCATACTTCATAACACCTGTCCCCTTTTAGTGTAATGATTGCTGTTTCTTATCATGTAACTAGATTTGATTTTTGTTTAATTTTATATTATTTAAAGCAATTCGTTTGCATCAGAGGCTGCATATAGGTATAACTATGGACTAGGAACTTATTGATATTTTTAGTTTCTTTTCTCATAAGCAAAGCTATACCAAATGCTGTTAAATTAGCCTACTATTTTAATAACATGGAGAGAAAATCCTAGCATAGACTAGATATTGCATGTTAAAACTTTTAATTCTTTCAAAACCAAGGGAAATGGAAGCTATAAAAAATGGGGATTAGTTATTGAAAAGATGACCATGGTTCCATGACTTGACTGGAATAATCTAGGTCACACCCCATTAGGAAGTGTTCAAGCATCTTCTGGCCCTGAGATGAAACCTCTCAGCACAAAAGTCTGCCAGCCCAAACTAAGCAGAGGAAATCCCAAGAACTTGTGTTTTAGTGATTTTGAGTTAACTGAACATCCCATATTTTAAGCAATTTTGAGATAAGTCTCTTATCTATAAGAAAAATACCTCTTTTCAGTATCATATCAAGTAGTCATCTTCATTGTCTCATTCATTTAAATGAATCTTTGACTTATGTATCTACTCTGTATAATATAAATATGGTTTGAATAGCCATCCAGAGATTATAGTTGACCTGAAATATGAAAGGTCTATATTAATTGATAGCTATGGTCTCCCAACTATTTTTTACTATTCAATATGTATGTAAATTAAAACTACAATGTTTTGATTAGGTTTAAGCTCAGCTGTGAAATTAATATTAATTGTTAACTTACTGCAATTATAGAAAATATTTTTTATTAGAATCCCTGGGGAAGAAAAGCAAAATAAACTGCTATAATTCTAAAACAATTTATATGCTACACATCCCAGAATTTAAAAATATACCTACAAAAAGTATAAGATTAAGATTGCTTAAAAAATTAGATCTTCCTGAAACAAAACAAATTAAATATTTGCCCAATCTCAAGCTGATTAGATATTTATTCTCAATGTATTTATAGCTAGTGCTTCTCTCTGGTTGAAGTAATTAAAGTATATTAAATATTCAAATAAGTAATTAGAATTTTTGACAAACATTCTCACTTCAGTGAAGGCTTTTAAATAAATAAAATGTAAGCACTATATTTTCATACTTTATAACACTTTTCCCCTTTTAGTGTAATCATTTCAGTTTCTTATCATATAAAAATATTTGATTTTTATTTAATTTTATATTATTTAAAGAGGTGCTTTTGGGTCAGAGGCTGCATATAGGTATAACTGTGGACTGGGAACTTATTGATTTGTTTATTTTTATTTCTTTTCTCATAAGCAAAGCTATACCAAATGCTGTTTAATTAGTAAATAACTAAGCTTGAGGGAGAAAATACTGTGGAGATAATCCGATTGGTTTTGCATGTTCTCAGTCACTTTCCTCATGGGCCTGTCCAGCTTCACCAGTAACATCCATGATGTTGCTTCCATTACACAACATCAAGCAGCAAAATGATCATTGCGCTGAAAATTTATTTTTCTGTGCTGTTTTTTGCAAATTTAAAGTAACTCATCTTCAAACCAATGAAGATATTTTTATAGATAGAAGCATTTGAGAAGGAAACTACTGTTTTGTTTTGTTTTTAAAAATACCCTTGTCATTCTCTCACTTTTTTTATTATTTTAAAATGTTTCTCAGATAATTTAGGAAGACCATCAAGTAATGTGTATTGTGTTAAACTCTGATATGTTTTTGAGTCAGGGTTTTGTTTTATAGCCCAGGCTAGTTTTGAACTCTTGATCCTTCTGCTTCTGCCTCCTTACTGCTGGGATTGTAGACTCCTGGGAGCCATTGAGTGGTTCCTACACTTAATTTCCTCTTAGTTTCTAATGAGACAGATCTAAAGAAGATGAAAAGCCAAGGTAGCACATAAAAGTGATGGGACACATTACCGGGATTTTGAGGAGAATTGAAGAATTAGGTCCCTTAAGAGTACAATAAGGTCAAATATTCTGAAGTGTTTATGCCCTAAAGTCAGATCAGTGATCTAGAAGGTATCACTCCTGGAACTTGTTGAGCATCTTGGTATGGTAGGACAGTTATGTGGGACAAGAAGTGTTTGGAGATCAAGATCCTGAAAAGACTGAGATCTGAGATGGGATGTCCTTTGAAAGACCTGAGCACAGGAGGAAGAGTATTGCACTTGGCCAATTTTCCTGGCATGTTTTAAAAAACTACAAAAAACAAAACCACAAGGCTCATGGTGAGCTTCCGGACAGTGACCTTGATATCATCAGTAGTTGGAATGTGTCTGATATCTTTGGTACTGTGAGATGAACAATATTGGAATGTGTCTGATATCTTTGGTACTGTGAGGTGAACAATAACACCACCTTAAATAAAATCATTTTTGAAACCCACCACTGTGTAAGACTTCTGACCCAATCATGGGGATCCAGTGGTCTTGCTTCCTGTGTACTGTACTTGTGTAATTCTGGATCCATATGTTTCTTTCTTCTGTCTCGTGGTGGTGTTAGTGGCTGAGCTGGACAGGCACTTTCAGGTGTACACTCCTGTGATATTGCACATTCAAAATATACTTTCCTATTTTCGGCTAAAACTCTATGATGCAAGCTGAGCATGCCCGGAGGCATTTCTTTCCACCATTTGAACATTTTACATATGTGCTCAGTGACTTTGAGCTAAGCTCACCCAACAGTTTTCTTTTTAAATTAAAACCTCGAACTAAGAAGGCTTACAAATATATTCCTAAATTAAGCATGCTTCCAGATGCACGACCCCCTACGACTGCTTTGGAAATGACACTCATGCTCTCCCTGCCTCCTGTAGGTCAAACATCTTTCTCTAGTCTTTATGGTGTGGGTGTGCTTATTTTGGCTTTGCATTTACCTGGATGTAAAACCACTGTGTTGGGTTGAAAGGCATGTATTGCACTTGTTCAGGCATGGGTTTGTTCTAGAACACACAAGATGATGAACACTAAAGTCTTGTAGTTTGTGGAAATTTTAAAAAACAAGATGTTTGCTTCTGCTTTGGACATCATCACATCACTAGCCTTCCATGCTAACATAGTGGTTATATACTGATTTTTAGAAAACAGGAGTGAGGTCAGGAAAGGAGAATGAGTTAAAAATACAGAACAGATTAATTTGAGAATTTACACAGATAAATCTCTTTTCAATGGACTTCAAGGGATTCTGCGTTTAATTTGCTCACTAACTATTGTTTCGTTACACTTTAAGAGAGAGGAGTACGTCATGATTGTAAATGCTACACTGAATTTGGCTATATCTATAATTATTCACATTCACACTAGGCCTCATAGCTTTCCTTTAGTATCAGACTTCTTATAAATCCTACATGACACAATAATACATAATTCATAAAATTAAATGGCATAATTGGACATGGTAGAAACTGAGAGCTATCCAAGGTAGAGTCAAAAGAGAGAAGACACTAAATAAATCTTTTGGGTTCCTTCATTACTCAGTAGAATTGTTAAGTTAGAAACACCAAATAGTTTGTTCAATATCATGGGAGTAATTGATGTCAGATCTGGAAGCAGAAAACAGAAAAAAAAAGGTTTGAAAAGTCTATTCATTATAGGATCTACGTATTGTAATTTTTGATGCTAAGAAAATGAAAATACATTCAAAAATAAAATGGAAAGTCAAAAATCATCAGTATAACCATTTCAAATGGCTTACTTCTTCACAAAATTTGGGGGAAAAGTAAGCATCATAGCATCCTAAATTAAATGGTTACCTAATAATAGTAATTTTCTACTGCATATAAATTAGAACACTCTTATATTATCTGATTGCTTCATCTTACTTAAAAACATTTAATCCATGTAGTCAACTAGTAGCTTAGTTTCAGAGACAGTTTTCTACTATGCTGCCCCGAGTCCTTACTGGAAAGTTAGCAGCTTTATGTGACAGAATGAGGGAACATTGTGTTGAAATGTCTCTTGGACTGAGTTTCTCAATATAGCAGTATTTCTTAAACTCTCATCATGCTTAAAAACAATCCAGTGTTCTTGCTGAAGATAGAGATTTTTAAGATGTAAGGGCACTGATTAGAAATTAACAAAATGGCATTTATAATGCCAAAAATTGGAAAAGTTTTTAACAAAAGTGCAAGACATATAAATGGACACTCTTAATCAAGACTGACAGACATCTCAAAGACTAGATCAATGGTGAGAAAGTCCATGTTTATAGACTGACAGGCTCAATTTTGTTGACACACTAAGTTCCATATTCCAAACAGTGCTCACCAAAAATCCCGAATGTGGTTTTATAGACATTAACAAGTCAATATAATACTTATGGATATACAAGGGACTTGGAAGAAACAAAGCTGGTTGTCATTAAAAAGACTAAACATAGCAAGACTGGTGGAAATATGGAGAAAATAATACTTTCCCACTCTCCATGAACTATAAAGTATGTAACAGAGTTGCCAATAGTCCCATTTCTGGACATATATCCACGGAAATAAATCAATATGTGAGAGATTGCTGCACTGCCATCTTTATTGGAGATTTATTTATGATAGTTGAGAAACAGAAATGACCTAGTGTCTATCATATGAATGGACAAAGGAAATGTGCATATGGACCAGTGAAATGGTCCAGCAATAAAAGCACATGCACTGTAAGCCTTGTGACCTGAGTTTGATTCCCAGAACTCATGGCACAGGCAGAGAATCAACTCCTGAAAGATGTCCTCTGACCTACACACATGCACTGTGATACATGGTCAAACCCTTACTTCTCCCTCTTTCTTTTCCTTTCCCTTTCTCCTCTTCTCTTCATC